AAGTATAAAGGTCCATGGTATTAAGGTGAAACTTAGATGAATTTTTAACGAACATGATACATGATACACTGTGGACCACATGTAAAACTAGTTCATGGTAGTGCCTATCTTAATATCAAGTTTGTATTACACTAGTGCAAAAATTAGTTTTAAAATCGGGTTTTTAAGATCGGTTAAAAGGTGACCGATCTTAATAGTGACGCAATGAAAATTTTGTAAATAATGTGAACACTTTTAAGATCAGTTAAATTTTAACTGAGCGTAAAAATATTTTTAAGATCGGTTATTTTATGACCGATCTTAAAAGGTATGTTTGACACAACTTTTAAGATCGGTTACAAAAGAACCGATCTTAAAAGTGGTATACAAGATCGGTTCTTTTAATACCCGATCTTAAAAATTGTATTAGACATAACTTTTAAGATTGGTCATAGAAGAACCGATCTTAAAAGTACTGTAACTATTTAAAAATGCAACACTCTCCCTTAGTCATTCTTCCTCGCATGCGCCTCCCTTAGTCATATTTTAAGATGAATAAATATATTAAGTTAATTAATAATTTATTTAAAATGTTAAAATTTAATTTATAAAAATAATATTTTAAAAGAGAAGGGTTATAATAACACCGGTGTAACTTTTACTAAGTATTACACCGCTCAATAACTTTATATTAAATGTGAATTTTATAAATTCAACCGTTAGATTGAAAGTTTTTTACTCTTAGCTCATATATACAAAATTTTATATTAATTCAAGATGATTTGATACTTCATTCTTATAAAACAAAATTGACGTAATATATACATTTCAAAATATACTAAAATATGAACACTTTGATTACCTTCAAGTTGCTGTTCAATTTTAACAAAATTTGATATAAACATATAAAGTGGTATGAACTTTCAATTTAACGGTTGGATTTACAAAATTCATATTTAATATAAAGTTATTGGGTGTAATACTTAGTAAAAGTTACACTGGTGTTATTATAACCCTTATTATTTTAAAATATATAAATCATTATTTAAACTTTTAAATTTATAATAAATAATTTAAATTGTATCATAATATTAATTTTAAATAGAAACAAGTAGATTGTTAATTATACAAGTAAGTGTATATATATATAAATAAAGATTAATTAAATATAATATAATAATTATTATTATTGGTAATATAATTATTATAAAAATACACCAAAATGAGAGGGATCCAAAAATAGTATAATTATAAGATTGTATAGTTGAGGATGACTTAAATGAATTAATTTGTACTACTTATTATACTGACAACATGCATCTATTTCCGGTAGTTTATCTCATCAGAACTTCACAGTTATTCGTGCTTGACTTGGAGTAATATAGGGATGGGTGACCTTTTGGGAAACTTTCCAAAAATGTATAGTAAGGACAAAATACGTTGAAAAGTGAAGTGTCGTGAAATAACATCCTTGGGAGGCTAAATATGATATTTGTTACATTAATAATTTTATTAAAATTAAACAAAAATTAAACCTGATACTTTTAAATTATCGATCTTAAAAGTTCAATTTTTAAGATCGTCTCTTTTAATATCGATTCTTTAACCGATCTTAAAAGTAAAAAATAACTGATCTTAAAAGTTTTTTTTCTACTAATATTAAAACATAAAAATTTAAAATAGCTAACTAAAAATTAGAGACATGACATTCTTAACAAGAAAAAATGTATTCTATTTTATGCGTGTACAAATTACATTATTAATGATAAAAAAAATATTAATTTGAAATATTATTGCTCTAAAATTTTAGATTATTATTATTTAATAATACATCACCACATATATATAGTGTTTAATAATTTTAGTATTCTAATTGTTAAATTATTATGATAGTATATTATCGAATGAAAATGTAAATTTTAGAATAATGTACTGCATCAAATCAAAATAAAGTCCAATTATATATGATGTTCCATTTTTTTTTTTCCAAATTACCTTTCCGGCTTCTATAAGATTACGCGCTTTGCGCAGTATTTCATCTCTATTTCTCGATTTTGGGTGCATCTTTTTAATTTCTTGATTTCAGATTCAGATGCAGAATTTACGTATGAATCTTTGAAACTGATTCTTAAACATGCACCATATAGAGACATCTTTGACTAACTAGGAATTACATACCCATTTCATCATTTTCAATATGTAGATGCAGCTGTTGCCATTATTATTATTATTAGTATAAAATTGAAAGAAGTTACGCGTATATACAGAAACTAATTGACAGCATCTTTTAATTCTATATTGGCTATTCACATGCTGCATAGTTTTTTTTTTTTTCCCAATAATCTGTGTCTATATATATTAATGAGTCAAATTTAATTTGCTTATACTAGCAGTATAATTATATATGCACTGAAATATTTAGACAACAACCAATTATATTTTACTTTACAGCTACGTCACGTTAATAGCTTATTTTAGTAAATTTTTTTAAAATTAAAAACTAAGTTCTCTCTCCCCTCTTCCTAAGTTTTTTTCTATTAAATAATTTTTTTTTCCTATTATCATCAATCCAGATTCTTGTCTAGCGACGAAAGATTTAGATAAAGGGGACATAATTATGGTGTGGTAGCAAAAAGATATTTTAGTTTAGAAAAAAAATATTTCATTAAATATAAGTATAAGTTGCAGTATTGATGGTAGAAATTAATTTAAAAATATTGCTGGTGTAAAAAATTACATTAATAATGTTTTATAATATATTATCATATTTTAAAAAAAAAATGGTATTTAAAGTATCGAATCCATTGTGTCCATAATCATGGGTGGAGTTTGAATTCTTATGACACTATTGTTTTATGAACAATTCTTTAGGGAGATTATTTGATAATTAGAGATTAATTGAATAGTTGTAATAAGGTAGAACCGTTTAATGTTTTGACTTTGTAAAGTAATATTTTAGATGAACATCTATCGAAAGTTCCAATATATCATTAGTATCTTATTTAATTGTATTGAAAGTATTTTTTCATCCGAATTTTTTTCAAATGAATAAATTCAACTGTGTCAAAAAAAAAATATATCAAAACCATTAAATGATGATAGTGTATTATTGAATGAAAATATAAGCTTTATGAATAATAATGCATCAAATGAATATTAAGTCCCAATAATAATGACGTTCAACTTTAGTTTTTCTGGTTACCTTCCGTCTATAAGATCACGACGCGCTTTCCTTAGTTTTCGTCTCGCTCTTTGTCATAGTTTTAGGAACATTTTCCTTAATAATAAAAAATTAATTGATTTCAGATGCAGAATTTACATATGAAACTTTGAAATTATTAAAAAAAATGGAAAATAAAGTAAAGTTAGCAAATGTGTTCTATCTTGACAGATCAATGAGTCAAAATTGTTCAATTTAAAATATCATAACAGTTCGGAGCAGTTAAATTGTAGTTCAATTCAAGTTTTTATAGTATAGTTCAGTTCAGTTCAATGACACAAAAGAATAATTCAATTCAGTTCGTCTGAACTAATATTCAATTTAGTTCAGTTCATGAAAACTACTTTTAAGTTCAATATAGTTTTTATAAGTTCAGTTTAGTTTATTTTGTCCACTCCTAAGTATTGATATGCCTCCAGAAAGAATCGCATGATAAAAATAATATATTATTACTTGAATAATAATAATATAAATATTTTTTCTTGCACAATTTGTTAATTTTCTTAAATTATCAATGATTTTAAAACAATTTATTATTCTATATGAAATTAAATGCTTACTCATGCAATAATTAATTTTCAAGTCAACATTTTCTTAAAAAATATGCAATTCTTAATTTTTATTTTAATATTTTTTAATAAATTAGGCATACATCTTATAAATTTTTTTAAAATTATGATTGTTATATTTATTTAAACTAATCACATATTTTGTAATTTTAATTTTTTTAATTTAAGGATGAATTACTTTATCTTTAGTTATTCTTCCAATTTTTTAATATTATTTAAATTTTGAGTTAAATTAAAAAATGTATAATATATACAGAACAAAAATCTTATAATTTTCTTAAAAATTTTGTTGTTTCTAAAACATAATAATGACTGTTAAAGATAATTAGTTACCATCGACCAATGGTTCAATCATGTTCTGTTATAATACAACAAACAGAAAGAGCACTCATGTCATCGACATGTCCTTTTGACTTGTTCAAAAGCAAAACCCTTTCATTGATGACTTGCTCCAAACACAGTTCAGAATTTTCCTCTCATACAGAAGAGTATAAAGGCCATGTACATGCATGGAATTAGCTAATTTTCTTCTCTGGAACAGGACGTGCAAGAAACTTCGATCAGAATATTTATACGTTATTAAATTAAAATTATATCCTATGTGGTAATATACTAATATATGTGTAAGGTAAAATATCAGATTAATACCTAGATTAATAATTATTTATTATTCTAATTCCAAAAAAAAAAAACTTAATTATCATTATTCATTTCCCTTTAGATAAATATTATTCATTTCAAGGTTAATTACCAGTATATATCCATTTCAGTTTCTTATATTAAAAGGTATCAGTTTCATGTTTAATTTGACCACTAGTTATTTTAATTTTCAATTTTGATGCAAGTCAGAAACAACCGTAAATCATTTTAATATCGCTTAATCTATAACAAAAACATAATTATCTCTTAATCTAATAAATTTTATAGTAAAACATATGTTAGCAGCAGTGTATTACATAATATATTCTCAACCCTTTTCAAATTTTATTGATACTAAATTTAATCCGGAATTAAAAAAACAACTCCCTTTTTCCTTGAACTTTTGTTTATCAAGCAGAAGAAAAAAAATAATAATACTTTCACCGAATTGTATTATGGAACAAAGAATCCAAAGTAGAATAATAAAAAAAAAGATACATGCATACCAGCAAAGCAACTGGAGCACATTAGCCACCCTCCATATGGTGCCACTGTAGGTGGGGATGCCCTCATCATGCCCCACACCGACAACATAATTGAACCATTCATCTTTATTCATTATTTTTGTACAAAATGTAAAAAAGAAAAGAAAAGAATAAGAAAAAAAAAGGGGGAACACAAGAACTATTAAAAATGAAACAAGATCATATACCCATCTGTAATATACGAAATAAAAGAATAAAGAAAAAACTATCCCAAAAAAAGAAAAAGAACCGCTCAATGAATTTCTATTCTAACACAAGTTAAATTATTATATAGTTCAAAAAATAAATAAAATAAAAAGTTGGCACTGTCATTGCCGTGTCTTCTGTAGCCTATCTCCAATCATCTTGAGCTCAAATTTCTTGATCACACCAGCAATGTCCCTCATGGTGGTGTCCAACACATAAGGGGTCTTGTCATACGTGATTTGTGTTGAATTTATAAGCATTTTACACGATTCTCTTCTTTCAGCTATGGTTCCATGATAATGGTAGTACATTATTTTCCCTTCAGTCTTGTGAGTTGTCTTTCCTGCAAGGTTCTGTGACATGTGAACCCCAGTTGCAAACAAATTCCTCGGTTGCACTGCATATTTTCGATCCCTTCTAATCCCTTTCTTTGAATCTTTATACACCAGCTTCTCAAACCCCCATTTCCTGCGAAATTCACACCACACCATGTGAGACACGCACCCCACACAACATAATAACATTTTCAAAGAGAATGGTAGACAACTGTGTGGCAAATGTAGTTGTCAAACCAACTGTAAAGGCAACAAGACATTCCAAAGCACAAAAACAAACTCTTTCTCTATATTCAACACAAATTGAGCTATAAACAAACACTTGAATTGGACAAAGCAGCTAGATCTAACTGTTGGCGAGGGACTGTTAAATTAGGAAATAGTAATTATCATGTATGTGTATAAAAGGTTGAGTGCACCCCAACAAAAGGGTCGTAATCAAAGCTCTTGTGGACCATGCAACACGGGTCTAGTCCAAAATAAAAATCAATGCAAGTGAACATTCAGGAAAACCATCATCACTAGCTAGCACGCTTATTTTATTCAATTACCAGAATTAACATGATATCGACAATTGCCACAAGGGGCAGATCAACACACCACGGGAAACTTACTCAACAAGGGGACATATTTTTTATTGAGTTAAAGAAATGTTCTGAATTTTCAGTATCACATTAAAAAACCCTTCCACAGACAACACCTACTATCCAGCTAATAAATAAGAAATAGTGGTTCAAAGACACCACCACAACTTGAACTGTCCAGAGGAATGGGCGATTCCAAACTCGTACAAGCCAAATCAATCGCCCCACCTTCCTCACTGGGGAAAGAAACAGCACCCACCCACCCAAGATTATCAAACACCAAAACAAAACAAGAAAAACCAATGACATCACATTTGAATTCATTCTCCAAACAAACCACCGCAGTAAATGCTAATTACACTCCCCCCCACAACCATCCAATATTCAATTATTTCCTAAACTAAACCCCGAATCCATCCACTTCAAAAACCTCCACAGATCCACTAACAAATCTCATAACACTTCCATCCACCAATCCCACAACCGACAAAAAATAAATAAATCCCCCCATTGGCTGCTTCAATTTTGCAGCACACAAAAAAAAGACCCATTAAAACTAAAACATCCATCAACAAAAATCACAAAACTTTTCACAAACCCCATTTCCTCAAGACAATCTTGCTAATAAAACAACCCCTCCAAGTACTCAATGTAATTATACATCCAAAATCTAAACTTCAAGAGTACTAATTAAGCTGAAACAACTATGTAAGAGATAATTCACGTGGCCACGAAGCCCATTAAAGAAGAAACCAAAAAGCAAGAATTTTTGAAGAAAAAAAAAATGTACCTATATGTTTTCCCATAATCAGCGGTGAGGCAGAGCTTGCTACTCATGGGCATCTGTTCAATGGTGAACTGAGAATACTCGGAGAGCGAATCAAGCACTGACTTAACAGTACTCTTGGGAGGAACAAAGATGAACTCATCGACATCAAAGAAGAACATCCACTTGGCCATGAACTTATACCTATGCAAGCAATCATTAACCACCATGAACTGGTTATGGTAGTAGCCATCGAAGCGTTCCTGGTCCCTTATGTCCTGCAGCGTCACATACCCGAGCTCCATCCACGGCTTCAGCACCTCCAGCACCTGCGCGTGCACCCCACCCGCGTCGTGGATCACGAAGTGCGAGCGAGGGCCGAAGAATTTCACGTGGTACGCGATCCACTCCCTCACGCGCTGCGCGTTCAGGTTCCCGTAGAGGGAGGAGCCGCAGTATAAGTAGTCGTACTTGGGCTTTGAAGTGAACAAGGACGTGTCCAGGGTGTTGGGGGCTTCGGTGAGGACCTCCATTGTGTCGGTGGCGTTGAGGGCCGCGTCGCCGCCGCCGGAGGTGGAGGCCGAGAGGAGGAGCTTCCCGCCGGCGTTGTTGGCGTTGAGGGGGGCTGGGAAGGTGCAGTTCACGATGACGACGGTGTAGACGCGGCCGTAGCCCCAGTCGGGGAGGATCTTGTAGCCGGCGGCGGTGGCGAGCGTGTCGCCGGCGAGTGAGGCCCACGCGCACTGGTAGGTGGGTTTGGCGTAGACATGGAGAGGCTTTGAGGCGAGGCCTATGATGGCGAAGGTGTTGAGGCCGCCGCGGTATGCGCCCATGGTGATGAAGTTGTAGGCGGCGGAGCCGTGGGGGTTGAAGGCGCGCTTGATGATTCCGTTGGGGAGGAGGTGCTCGGAGGGTGGCGGCGGCGGCGGAAGAGTGGGTGGTGGTGGTGGCGGTGGTGGTGGTGGTAGTGATGGTGACGTGGCATTTGTGGTTGTGGTGTTGGAGGTTGAGGGGGTGGTTTGCGTGACGCGGGAGATGCATACGCGGAGGTCGGAGGCGGAGATGGTGAAGCGGGAGGGGAGGAACTGGAGGAGGGTGGCGACGGCGCAGAGGAGGAGGAGGGTGGTGAGGAGGAGCTTGATCTCGGCGGCGTAGGTGCCGAGTATGGCCACGTGGAGCTTCTTCTCTCTCTCCTTCGCCATTGCCGGAATGGAACCAAGTACAAGGTGTGTGTGTGTGTGTTAGTGTTTGTGTTTGTGTTTTGAGGGGTTTGCGTTGGGTTATAAACGCAGTGTGTTACCAAGGGGAATATTTATGTCGTTATATAATAATACCACGTACTTGTCTTCTTTCTGAACTGTAAACTATGCCCTCTATCTAATTGGGGGATTAATTTATGAATGCAACTTTAGATCTATTCTTTTTATCTATTTCATTTCATGTTTTAAGTTTTGGAATAATAATTTAAAGTATAATCAATATTCTAAATATTATAAATAAAAATTTCACTTTACAAAAATGATTATGGATACAATATATTTTATTAACATTTGAATTCTAACAATATTTACTAAAAATAAAATTTCTAATGAGAGAATCTCATTATACATTCCATGAGAAAGTAGAGGTATTATGAGTGCTTGTAGCCTGTGATGGCGGTAAAAATGAAGGGGATTTAATCTAGTTTTGATGGGTTTTGGTTTAATTGAGTTTAAAGTTAAAAGTGGGGAGAGAGACTAGGGAGCTACCAAGGGGAAAAGAAAAGGGATTTATGAGAAAAGAGAAGAAGGGAAAAGAGGGTGAAAGAATTTATCTTTGGGAAGAGAGAAAGGAGTATTATGGAAAAAGTTATTGTAATTAGTGCCGGAACCCAAAAAGATGGGTGGGACTGGGGGAGGGGCCCTAGGTTCATGAGGATTTATTATTTGTTGTAATAAAATAAGAATTGAGGAGAGAGAAAGAGTGAAGTCGGTTGGTGTTGGAATTGTTACCGTTAAGTTAATTTGTGGCTACCAGAAGAAACATGGGATAGGGTACATCATGTCCACCGTTAACAATTCTATCATATCACCCCCTTTAAACTTCGCTTAATACACTCTCTATCCTCTCCCACACTCTTTTTTTTTTATTATATATATATACACAAAAATGTGGAATAATTAGTTTTTTTTAACACCCTTTTTTTTATGATAATTAAAGAACGTAGTTAACAACCATAAAACATTTTTTTTATTTTTAAAAGAATTAAATTATAAATTTCATTTATCATCTTGATAAGAATTCATTCAGAATGTATTTATGTTAATTGGTTTTTTCACAATATGAGTCAATTTTGTTTCAGTTTAATAAATATAATAAATAGTGTGGGAGATAGATTAATGTTTTAGATTTTTGAGAGACAACCATTCTAACTTGTATATTCTCCTTCTAACCCACCTGGACCACCTACTTTCTTTGTATAATAATGAGTATAAAATGAGTTAAGTATATCTGTATATGTTTAATTGGGTCCCTATTTAAGTTATATACATATATCGTATAATTTTCATTTATATACCAAGCTAATAAATTGATTAAATCGGTCTAGTAATGTCTTGAGAGTTCAAGGGCGGGAGTTTGAACTCCACCTCCAATAGTTTGTGAATATCTTTTCATATTTTGCATGCCAGGTTAACAAATAAAAAAAAAACGTAATAATATATATGTTAGATAATACATTAACATGTTAGAGCCACGTTAATAAACTTTATTTAATATGGTGTAATTTAAATTGAGTTTAAAACTACACTTAAACTTAACTTTTTTTAATGTACTACTATTTGTTTTTTGTTAAAGCCATCTTTAAAGTTTAAACAAATATTTTAATGAATATTAACAAAATGTTTACCATTTTATGTTAGAATTAAACTACTAGGTTTGTTCCGGCCAAGGGATGGACTAGGGTTTCTGCCTAGGTCAAGCCTCAAAGCCAGAGCATTCAAAAGTGTAATCTGTCGTCCTAGCCCTAGGGTTTTGGGTTTTATACTCTTCTGTTCATGAGCTTCGTGGGTCCCGAGATTATCGGGATTCTCCTTAACCGTTCTTATCTCGAGGCCGTGGGGTAAGTGGTGGTTAGTCAAGTCGGGATTTTACCGACAAGGCCCGTTCTAAGGGACCTGTCGAGAGAAAGACGAGTGGGGGGGGGGGGCCAGTCGGCATTTTACCGGGAAGGTACACTTGCCTTCCAGCAAAAACCAATTAATCGTAAGCGGAGTAGGTCCGAGTATGGAGTAAGTTATAACTCAGTTTGGAACAATAGTCAAGCCAAAGTTCTAGAAAATCTATCTGTTGGCATTGAGACTATAGCCGCCAATTTTGAAAAAATTTCTAACTTGATGGAGAAAAGAGAAAGATACCAAGAGGCAAAGGGAAATATTTGTTGGAGTGCCATAAAAGAGATCATTGTAACCTAGAGGAAGGGATATATATTCTCAACCTAAAAGGCATGTGATTCCTAACAATGAAAACAAAGTGTGTAAACTTCTTAAATCTCTTTATGGTCTAAAATAAGCAACGATAATGGCATGAAAAGTTTAAGGATTTTGTGCTAAGTGATAGTTTTAAATCTAGTGATGTTGATAAATGTGTGTACACCAAATATGTGAATGACAATTGTGTCGTAATATGTTTATATGTGGATGACATGATAATTTTATATACATTCATTGATATAGTTTTAAGAACTAAATCATTTTTGGCATCTAATTTAAATATGAAAGACATGGGAGAAACAAATGTAATATTAGGAGTAAAAAACATAAGGAAGAGAGATAGTATATTACTATCCTAAGAACACTATGTTGAGAAACTTCTCAAGAAGTTTGATTATTATGACTCGAAGTCAGTGAGTACCCCTTATAATGCTAACTCTCACTTAAAGAAAAATAGAGGAGACCTTGTTGCTCAATCTTACTATGCCCAAAGAATTAGGAGTCTACTGCATCTAATTCATTTCTCTATACTTGACATTATATTACTTATATAATAGGTAGATTAAGTAAATATACTAATAGACCCAATCAAGACCATTGAAAGCACTTACAAGACTCTTGAAATATTTGAGACACTAGTGGAAAATAAGCATATTACGTCACCTCTTTTACATCGGAAATATGAAAATTTGACGTAAAAAAAATGTGGTGGCATTTTTGTAATTTTGTGAACTTTTTTACGTCGGGCCTGGTAGGGTCTAATGTAAAAAGTCAAATCTACGTCGGAAGTATGTTGTGTCCGACGTAGATTTGACATTTTACGTCGGACCATACCAGGTTCGACGTAAAAAATGACGCAAATTTGAATAAGAGAGCGCGAGGCACAACGCGCGCATTCACTCTTCATCACTTTTCATTTTTTTCTCTGTAAACCCTCTCCCTCTCCTTTGTTATTGAATCGTTTTTTTGTCTTTTGCAGAGGGATGAACTCTTTGTTACTTATTCGCACATTGTTGCTGCTCATCAGGTATGAATCAAGGTTTCATTAATACTTTTCTACTTCGCATTGCTACTGTGGCTATCTGTTTTATTCAATTTTTTGGTTGTTTTATTTGTGTAGGTCGTTGGCATTTTCTTTTGGGTTGTTCTACGAAGCAGCATGGCCTGTTCTGCTTGTAGAACGGCCCGTTCTGCAAGCAGAACGACCTATACTCCAAGAAGAACGGGCCGTTCTACTTGGAGAACGGGCCGTTCTACAAGCAGAACGGCCCGTTCTGCTTGCATTCTTATATTTTTTTTTATTGTTTTTACTACTTTTTTACGTCAGATTCCATGATGTTCGAATTAAATTTACATAAGTATTGCAGATCTGACGTAAAAATTTACGTCTCCCGCTTTTACGTCAATGTCTTTTCTAACGTAAAAAGCTCAAAATGTCCGACGTAAAATGCCTCTTTTGTACTAGTGAGAGGTACCTATTATGGTATAAGTATAGTGGATTTTCTACTGCACTAGAAGGGTACAATGATACTAATTGGATTTTGATTCGAATGAGACAAAATCCACTAGTGGCTATGTGTTTACACTTGGTGATAGTGTAATTGCATGGAGATCAATTAGGCAATCTATTATTGCTAGATCAACTATGGAATTAGAGTTTGTAGCTCCAGAGATGACTGGTACGAACATTGAGTGGTTGAGAAACTTATTGGCAACCAATCAACAATAGTTATAACTAAGAATTGCTACACCCTCTAGCTCACATACATAGATAAATTTAAAATTTCTTAAAACATATTTATAAATATTAATCCAAATCCATACACAAATTATCCAAATGAAATCTCTAACATATGGTAAGGAGTATCACATAACAAACTATGAAACAGACTCCCTATTAAGTGGAAATAAAAAACTAAACTTGAATCCTATCATAAAAACTAATAAAAATATTATTTCTAATCTAAGCCTCAATGTCACATGTCTTATCAAAGCACTCATAAAACAAGGATTATGCCTTGTCACCGCTATCATAAAGATCCTGATGAGCATTACCTATAACAACATTCATACAATCAAGACATGAAAACAATGAGAGTGAGAAACTTCTCATTCTAGCTCATGGCATTGAATAAAAAACAAATAGCTAAACCCCACTTCAATCATACAATATAATGAGATTAATGATAAACTATCACAAATATTCATTTATCCTCACTACCAACATAATTACTTGTTAATAACGTATCAATCATAAATAATCCAGACACATGCTAGTATGGAATGGAATGGACACGAACTCTTGATTTGGATACATGTGGTACCAATCATACCAATACATATCTATTTTCACCACCTCAACCCCCTTTAAGCTCAGAGGTTCCCACTGAAAAACCAATTAATCGTAAGCGGAGTAGGTCCGAGTATGGAGTAAGTTATAACTCAGTTTGGAACAATAGTCAAGCCAAAGTTCTAGAAAATCTATCTGTTGGCATTGAGACTATAGCCGCCAATTTTGAAAAAATTTATAACTTGATGGAGAAAAGAGAAAGATACCAAGAGGCAAAGGGAAATATTTGTTGGAGTGCCATAAAAGAGATCCCAAATTTGGATGATCGAACTCGCTACATGGCGGCTGATTTGCTCGATACTAATGCAAAGAAAGACTTTTTCTTGAT